GTGGTCAGCGCCGTCGCTGGCCAGTCCCTCGACGCGGGGCGGAACGATGCAATGGATGGTCAGGACAATACTACGGTCTTTTCGTATTGCAGCCCACACTCCTCCCCCCGAACGCGCGAATGGAGGACGTTGTGTGCATCACGATAGATGCATGCACGGTGCCCGCGGCTGAAGCAGCATCTCACACGGTGCGATTGCCCGACAGCACCCGGCCCCGTATCAACGTCGATAGCATCGGGGAAAGGTCCTATAGTCCAGAGAGCTTCGCTTTTGACCTGCTGGCTGGCAGCGTGCGTGTTGACGAACTTCAACACATGTCGGAGCGTAACGCAATATGCGCTGACAACATCGACCATGTTATTGACACAGATTCGGACGCATCATTTCCCAATCAGCATGAAGGGCCTCTTTGTCGCTGCTATCGCTGCCGCCGCGTCGGCGCAAACCATTACCCTTGCCCCGACATCGGTCCCTTGCCCAACGCCGTTGGATGTGTTCGCCGTGTACGATCTTGTGCCGTGTACGGACCCTCCGCGCACGACGATGCCCACGGCTGCACCAACCCCTGGTCCAACCAACTCGCCCACTCCCAACCCTACCAACTCGACCACCCCGACCACGACGGCGACCATCGTTACGACCACAGCCCCCACCACGAATGACCCCACGTACCCCACGAGACCCCCTTCCACACCTGCGCCAGTAAGTCCCACCACCACAGCGACTACAACTGCAGCGCCAGTCACTCCGACGACTACCGCATCGATCACGACTGCGGCACCCGTCACTCCAACATCGGCGGCCCCAGTGACCCCTACGACCTCGAAGCCATCGACACCTACCACCGCCACCCCTGGCACCTCGAGCCCTTCCACGCCGACGCCGTCGACACCGACATACCCGACCAACGCGCCAACAACAACCAGTGCGAACCCATCGGACCCTGTCTCTACCACCTCTACGCCATCGACTACCCAGAATGGCAACTGGACCAACTCGACGACTATTCCTGCCACAACGGCCGTCATTGTCCCTCCCACATGCACTCCAGTGAGTGTCGAAGGCGATGCCACGTATTGCATCGATGGGCCCATCTGCAGCGGTTCCGGCGACCACCTTGGCGGAACCAAGTGCCCCGTCAAGGGCGACGTGGCTGTGCAAGACTGCTTGTCGTCGTTGAAGAGTTACACCGACAGCGGCAAGTGTGTCGCTCCCAAGGACGCGGTATGCAGCAGGGTCGTCACGGGGGTGTGGGGATGCAAATGGTAGTTGGCACCACCAACCTTGTGGCACTTTAACCAAGAATGAGATTGCGTCGTCCTCCCAGCTGACTTGGTCGGTTCGCAGGGATGGAGTCCAGCCCGTTAGCACAGAGCTCCAACAAGGAACAACTTGTGGTCAGGATCTAGGACGAGAGCCCTCGCGCGAGTTTGTTTCCTGGTGAAAACGTCCCGGCGTGCGTGGTGAAAATACTGCGGGGGCTCGAAACCAACTCCTGCGACGCGTTCACCAGATAAAAGAGCGCATTGGAGGCCATGGGGCTTCCTCGCCGTCGCAGGAACGACGTGTTCGCCACATGAATTTAGCTGGGAATGGACGTGGCGGGATATGCGCGCAGGGGATGCCAGGCCCCACGGAAGCGCAGGGCAAACAATTCCCATTGCGAGCTTACTCCGCACATGATCCGCAACCAAAAAGGAGGGTAACTCGAGCAAATACCAAACCAACTCGCACCAGATAATCAGCATCCATTTCGTCTATTTCAATGGCAATCGCCCCCCCGTCGGTACCTGGCGAGTACAAGAACGTCATTGGCGTGCGGGCCGGGGGACGGCCGCGTCGATCCGGACGTGTCGGCCTTTGGCCATCGGGCGACGTCCTCGTGGATCACAGGCGGCTTGGCCTACAACACGATCCCGGACACGCCTGTTCTCACGCCCGGGTCTTCCA